TTCCCAAAGCTAAATCTAATCTGCAGCCGTCTCCCCCTCACTGACACACTGTTACACTAAAACGCCTCAGCCATCACCCACCCTTGGCAGCAGATTGGCACCATCACACATGCCCCCCCACCCCACTTCGCAGACGCGTGCGTGCACATGCACAGAGAGAGAGAGAGAGAGTGAGCCATGGAGTAAGAAAGGCAAATAGAGGTCAAAAAGAGAAATAAGTAAAACTACCGTTAAGATTGGCCTGAAGAAGAAGTGATAATCAAGCAATTTCTTAAATCTGAATCAGAGTTATCATAATACAATCAAATTTCATTTAACATATTTTCTCTGCTCTAATTTTGGAGACATAGGTTAAATCTATGATTTGTGCCATATATTTTCGAAAGACAGAGGCACTGTGCGAAAGTATCTCAACAACAATTACCAAGGACACCTTTAATACGCTTCCCAAAAAAAAAGTCTATGATGTTAACTTCTTGTCTCCTCACTGCATAATCTCTTGTCTGAGAATGTGGAGAAATATATCACTTAATTTATTTGTTATTAATCTGTTTAAAAACATCTTAACCATTACAGAATGACCCTATGTGTTGGTATTCTACTCTATTATGTAACACATTATTTATTATTTTCCTTATTCTTTATAAAGTAGCCTATATGATACATGTATAACTTTAATCAAAATGTTAAACTTTAGGTTCTGTTCAATGTGAGAACCATGTGAAACTTATATTTTTAACCTTTATATTTTCAGTTCAACACAGTACAAGTCGTTCTCCCACTAAATCTGAATATGTTATTAATTTTAAATGAATGTGAAAAACTGAAATGCATAATCATTTCCACTTCGGAATTAGACAATTAGTCAGGCTCTTAAATCTGGCGAGTGTGACTAAAATACACATTCAGAGCAGAAATAGATCTTTATTCCCCAACAGACAAATATGATGCTGTCAAAATATGAAATTAGATCCTGCATAGAGGTCTTCAACACATCAAAATGTGTTTGTACAGTGTAAAGCATTTAACTCATCACATATCCTGTATGTTTGTACGATTTTTCCTAAAGCCCATTAGAGAATGACAAATAATAAACTGTTGTTGATACTGAGCTGTTGTTGACACCAAGCTTCTTTTTTTTTTAAGGTTACACTCAGTTTTTAGTTTAACTCAGTGATAATATTGTATTTCAAATATGTAAAGGTTTAAAAGGTGGTGTAAAAGAGGAAGAAACAGGAGGGATGCGTGTTGCTTGCAGGGCGTACTACTACATTGACGATGCTGGTAACTGCATGATGAACATGTGTATATATTTGTTTAACTACAGTAGCATAAACGTCTTTGAAACCACTGCGTGATAATATAAATATATTAGAGTAAAAACAGATGACATGGCAGTCAAATCAAGTCAAATCAAATCTGTGGATACAAAGGTAAGCACATATTTTTTCTCACTTTGCTCCATAGACTCAACATGAACACGTGTCTGTCATCAGCCTTTTGCTTCTTCACCTCACTGAACGACTTCAATACTAATTTATGTTCTTCATCCACCGAGTCTTGTTCGAGAAACCACTCTGCTCCGTGTTCTTTCACTCATTCTTTAGGAATATCGCCAGCAGACATGGCAGTTGCTTGCAGCACTAAGCTCTTTGGTAGTAAAGGAAAATGGTATGGCAAGCAACACTCACAGACCATACATGCACGCGCACACACAGACACACACATCCAGGCAGAAGCACACGCACTCTTCCTCCTCACCCAGGCAAATCGATTCCAGCATACTCTTGTCACACATCATTACACCTTCCTATCATCCTCTGCTCTTTGGCTCTGAATGTGTGTCTGGGTGGGAGAGAGCCGGTGTGTGTGTGTGTGTGTGTGTGTGTGTGTGTGTGTGTGTGTGTGTGTGTGTGTGTGTGTGTGTGTGTGTGTGTGTGTGTGTGTGTGTGTGNAACGCTTTGATCACAGCTGAGTGGTAACTGTGTGCCTGTGTGTGTTTGTGTGTTTGTGTGTGTGTGTGTGTGTGTGTGTGTGTGTGTGTGTGTGTGTGTGTGTGTGTGTGTGTGTGTGTTGAGATTGAGCGTGCTTCAAGAAGTTATGCAAACTTAACACACAAACACGCAGCAAATAGATACACCTGCGGCCTCCTCCTCGCCCTCACATACAGCTTATGCTTTTAAAAATATAGGAGAGCGGACGTGCACAGACAACTTTCAGACAGCTGTGGTGGCGATCCCACACAATGATCATTTATCTTGTGTCTCTTCCATTACCAAGAGGCTTGGAGTTATTTCAGCGTAGCATAATGTCCCACTACTATGATTCCAGAGAGCCATAACATCAGTGAGTTGAAAACTAGTCCAGCCAATAACACACACACACACTGAGCCATCAACCGGGCTGGCTCGTATAGACAAGGTTGCTCAATGATACATGAAATTAAAGATTTCAGCAGAATAGCAGTGAAGAGGGTAAAACACACAGAGCTAATTCTAACTGTCAGTGTGAGATATTTAATGTGTCTCCAACACAAGTCTCCTGTGAGCAGATATACAGTGAATCTGTAGACCTCATGTAATGTATTTGTACATATGCAGATGAGTAAACTCCTAAAGCCTGATTTGTGCCACAAAGTGATATTGATCATGGTATTTTTCTTGCACAAGAAAACACACACACACACACACACACACTGATTGTTATAACCTTGAAACAAGAGCTGTTTCCGATGGATACAGGAAGCAAGCTGTGGCGTGGGAAGGGAGGACAGATCAGGTCATGGAAGAGGAAAGAGGAGAAGGGGGGGTTTGGATGGAAGGCTAAATTAGGTCCAACTGGATTTTCAAACTATATAAGATGTAAGACGGCAGCAAACTAATCAGGTAAATTGAATTAAAGTGATTATTTTCAAATATTTACATTTATATAATTTTGTCCTTTTGTGTTGTTTTTTCAACATAGCAGTAAAGCAATTATTTCACTGACAGTTTCAAACAAAAGGGATCCTACAAACCTGTTTGACTGAAAACTCTCAAAGCACATTTGTGAATTTTAATACTTTACATTATACGGGTGATGTATTTGGATTAGATCTGTCATTCATTTAAAACGAGAAAGTGAACGCATGTTTTGCATTGTTAACTGATGTCTCTCATTAAAGATGATTAAATCAAAATCAAATCAAGCATCAAATTAACACAGGAAGCATCGCATTTAATTTTGTACATTTTAACGAGGAACAAATTTCAACAATATTAGTTACAATAGCTGCCAGACATTCGACATCGTACAAAAATGTAAACACCGTTTCAGACGTCTGTGGCTTAACTAGATGTTTGCACTGCACTGATTTGATTTATACATCATTGTGTGTAACGAAACTTCCAGGGGAGTTTTGTTACGCTAGGGTCAGAGAGCTAACTGAAGAGAAACTCGGTCCATCTGTCCCCTGCCCACAGGAAACAAACACACATGTACGCACGCCCCCACACACACACATCGTGGTCTTTTCTCTTCACTACCATCCTCCTCTCTCTGCATGACACTGTATATCCTACATTCTTCCTCCTATCTAAAAGCATATGTGGCCTCAGGGGAACTGTGGTACCTCCTCAGCGTTCCTCCAACAAAAGCAGTAAAAGCTGCACCAGACACACAGTTAAGGTCAAACATACAGGGGCAGTGAGAACTGTTGCCAAAACCTGTGCGATGTGCACATTCATACGTCCTGCATGGTGTATAATCCAGCAAACAGGCCCCGTGAATACACTGTTCTCGCAACACACCGCGGTTTGGTGTGAAAAGATGCACTTTTCCCCACAAAGAGGTCTCCAGTCTTTTCTTTACTCAATTAACCCTGCGGCCTTCATTTCCATTTCATAAAGAGGTCGTCACTCTGTGGGAGGGTTATCTTCTTTTAGGAGGCAGAAAAAGATGAGAAGGGGGGGGAACAGTTTTTATCCTGTCAAAGAGATAACACCGCTGCTCTGCCTTATCAGCAGCTGATACAATCCTATGCTATAGGGCTGTGTGTGTCTTTCCGAACTGTGCATGTGAATATGCAGTGTTTGGTCATATGCATATATTAATTGTGCGTGTGTGTGTGTAGAGGGGACTGGATTCTGTATGTGTGCTTGTGTTTAGAGGTATAGTGAATTTAGGTTGAGCATCACGTCCTGTCTGGTTTTGCCTGTATGACACCTTGCAGCTGCCACACACACCAGTGAGTCTCTGCATCCACCAGAGCCCTGAACTGCACGCTGTGTGTGTGTGCGTGCGTGCGTGCGTGCGTGTGTGTGTGTGTGCGCGCATGTGTGTGTGTGGGGGGGGGGGGGGGCCCACTCTGAGGTTAGCTTCAGCTTTGCCCTTTATCCACCAGCTTTCCATTTGTCAGTTTTAACTCGTGCTTGAACTGCCCCTCCATTACGAAAATTTGCATCCCATCACACTCAAATGTTGCATTAATGCCACGAAGCAAAGTGGAGGAGAAATGGGAACAAGCTGCAGAGAAGTATGAAAAATAGCTGTGTATTCTGAAGAGTATATTTGTGTGTGTGTGTGTGTGTTTGTGTGCCGGAGTGCTTGAGAAGTGGACACCCGTTTAAAAAAGGCACATGCTCTGAATAAGCTTTTAAAACTGTAGTCGGCATGCATTACTGATTCTCAAGTGGCTAAAAGCACAGGTCCTACAGTTTAAGAGATGAAAAGTGACATTTCTCTCAACTCAAAGATTACTCAGCAGCAGTTCCTCTCATAGGCTGGGCTGTCACATCCTCACTGCAAATTTAACAGTCTCTCAAAAAGGCATGTTTAAGCTTTTTAATAAACTGGGAGCCACAGGATCACATCATTTCAGTTTGGGAGAAGAAATATATTCGTAGTGAAGTGTGTGCGAATGTGTACTTAAACACATTAAACACTTGAACACTTTTTTTTCAAAAGTAATCTCTTCTCCCCCCCACCTCATCTTATCCACAGTATTTTTGCATGAAGCTCACCTTCTGCAGCAGCTGGGAGCCAGAGTACTTGGCAGAGATGGACTTCATCTCTCCACCAAACGCTGAAGCCCAAAGCTTCACCCTGCAAAACGCACACAGCAAGAAATCAGACATGATGACTTCAGGACTGGTTTTAGAAAAGCTTTATTCTAACGAACCAGGTGATTTTATATTTTATACTTTGAAGCACACATCTGTAGTATTTTTTTTTTATCAAGTTCTGATTTGTAACTTCGATGCGCGCCGTGCACTTTGCGAAAAAGAGCGTCTATACTTACACGGACGGGGGGATGCTTTGGTGGGTGGCTCCCACCTCAGTGACCCTGGTGCTTATAGTGAAGTAAAGTAAAAGCAGACACGCACACCACGCACTGGAAACCACACAGCTCCGATCCACCTGCATCTTGGGCAAAAAAAAAATACCCTCCCTGCGCGCACACAGCGAGTTTTGGGCTTATGCTGCCACAGTGTTTTTTTTTCCTCCTCCCTCCAGAGAATCCAAAAAAATGAAAAGATAGAGATAAAGGAGGAAATTAAAAGTCACCTATGCTGGCTGAGTAAATCGTGCATGGCAATGTGTTCATCTGCTCCTGGTGCAGGACGATGCGATGCGCCTCGGAAACACGGCACGGTCCTCAGCTGTGGGAGTTTATCCAAAGTGCCGCGGCGTGGCCCCGCTGCGCGGTGCGGCGCGCACAGTTCTGCTGCCCGGCGGAAAGTCGGGCTCGACTCGTCCGCCAGGGGAAGTCCACTCAGTCGCCTTTTTACTCGACCGACCTCACCCAGGGGGAGCACGGAGTGGAGGTTCAGGGGAACCGGGGAGATCATCAAACGATGCAGCTCACAAGAGCACGCCTACTCCTCTTGAGTGGTGCGACCAACCTCCTCTCTCATCTCTCTCTCCCCCTCTCTCTCTTCATGTGTGTGTCTCTCTCTCTCTCACACACACATACATACATTATCCCCCCCTTCCCCTCAGCATCAGAGGATAGCCTATTGAGGATGCTTCCATTGTTGATGAATTACGCCATACTTCTGACCTGCCCCCCCCCCCCCTCATGGGCTCTAATACAGGGCTTTAATAACTAGCCTGCAGCTTTCATGTTGGATAAAGTCATGCACCGTATGTCCAGTTCACTGAAGCAGGAATTACTGCCAAAGTGCTGACTAAAGACAGAGGGGGAGAAAAAATGTACA